ATTTTACAACAATGGAAAAAAATGTTTCGTGGTATCGTGTCACGAATAGTGATGAATAAAAAATGCTTTCAGAAAAAAATGCATTTGGTTCAGGAAAAAATGTATTTTTTTTTTTTTCAAAGCTTAAAAAAATCCATAAAATGATTGTGCTCGACTCTGAGTACCTATCTATTATGAAAAAAGTAAACAGTTTCCAAGATGATTGTTGATAAAAACGTACATACATGATGTCCGAGATATTTTCTACATTTTACCAAGTGGTGCGTGTAATGGGTTATTTTCTTGAGCGGCATTCATTCGTGCTTTTGTAACATAGATTGTTTATCTTGATTGTGAGAATAAAAAATTAAAAACCCCATGATAGCTTCCGTCCCCTTTTGGTGTTTAATACTTTGAAAAAACTAGAAAATTTCTTTAATATTTGTCATTCCTCATTTTCGTTAAAAAAAAAAAAAAAAAAAAAAAAAAAAAAAAAAAAAAAAAAAAAAAAAAAAAAAAAACACTTTAGGATTCAAAGTAATAAAAAAAATATACATATATATAAGAAAAGAGAATTCAATACACGAATGCTTTCAAAGCAGGTGTGTCATAGAAAAAGCACGTTTTTAAGAGAGAAAAAAAACAATAAAAAAAAGTGCTGTAATAATGAATAATGTTTTCGTTGATTTCATTTATTAACAATGGATTTAGGATAATTGATTTTTCGGATTGGAATTTAACCTGACAGAAACCTCACATAATCCTAAACCCGAGTTTCCTTTTTACCCAAAAATTTTACTTCCGCCTACTCTTTTCTCCCCCATCAGTGTCCTAAATTCGAAAAAAAAAAATTAAAAAAAAAAGAAGAATAGGGAAAAAAAAATTTTAAGTTTGCAAGTATGTTTACGCACACGCGTGAATATTAAAGGATGAGTATATCTTGTGTATGTATAACAGAGGTTTTAACGAATGAACATACATATGTATGTATATGATGATTCGCATGATTAATTAGACCGCCTCTCGTGAAAAAAAAAATTTTTGTTTGTTTCTGTGAAAACGTCATTGTAATGCGCAATACATGAAATTATATGAAATTCTTGTAACAGCACCTTTAGTATAACGATNGAATGAACATACATATGTATGTATATGATGATTCGCATGATTAATTAGACCGCCTCTCGTGAAAAAAAAAATTTTTGTTTGTTTCTGTGAAAACGTCATTGTAATGCGCAATACATGAAATTATATGAAATTCTTGTAACAGCACCTTTAGTATAACGATAAAAAAAATTGACAAGTACAGACGCTGGAGCAGGAAATATACGGATGCTGTAATGAAATTACCATTTTTTTGGAAATCTTATGTTCTGGGAAAACTTGTTAAAAAAAATGTATAATTCAATAAATTAAAAAATGAAAATTTTACTACGTTGACTTGTTGATTATTATTACCAATTTTGGAGCCGTGTACTTAATTTTTTTTTGTATTCCAAAACACCGATAAAAAAACTTTTTTATCAATACGCAAAAACAATCGTGTCACATGATTTTTTTTTTCACGAAACGTTTCGGTATGATTAATGTGTGTACTTCCGTAAATGGTACACGAAAATCAATACTTTTGGTGTAATACTCAAATACATTTCATTAAAATTAATTCAATTCAGAGATACAAATGAACAAACAGGTATTGACCTCAGGGTATATTCGTAATATAAAAATAGCTCGTGTAGAAGTACATTTAATCTCGGCGTGATTTAATCATATTTAATCTGAAGCTGATGAAAAAAAGAGTTATAACTATACCGATAAAAAAAAAAAAAAAAGAACACGATAAGGAAATGGTTCAAAAGAAAAATACGACCCCGATACTAGCGCCACACTTGGTACCCCAATGAAATGTAACAATTAGGTACTTGAGGGCTCACAATTTAACGTTGACCTTGGCGCTAGTAACTATCAGTGCTGTGTGTACAAATGGCTCCAAAAAAACGACGAAGAGGTTAAAAAGCCTTAATTCTATGATTGTACACGATTGTAATGATATAAACCCTGAAAAATAACTGGAAACTATTTTTTTTTTTTTAATTGCAGAAACGAATCTATTTTTGCCCGACTCGGTTAAGGATAATTCTTGGTATTGGGGTGACTTGAGCCGCGAGAGTCCCCGAAAAACCGGCTTTTTCCCAGTCATTCCGTGCAAAAGTCCCGCAATTGCCGACAAAGATCATCGGTCCCCATCGATCAATCTACAAAAGCTCACCAGCTTACCGGAGCCAGACGAAGACTTGCTAACCTCAGCCCGCACACATTTTCGCCCGATCAAAGAGGACGGCAACTGGACCGACGGCACCACGTTTCCCGTGAACAATGCTCTGGAACGAGTCGCTTATCGCAGGTTTGTTCGCGTCTCGAAATTTATGCATATACCTACAAATTCTTTTATTGATTGTCGTGTTGGTCTTTCACAGGTCAGACTCGGGAAATTTGTTATACCTTCCCGACGGCGAGAGCCCGTACATGGAATATCGAGAGAATCTGAGCGCACCGATCGCCGTAGCTGTACCCTCGAACCTGACCCTGAAATTTAGGGTTCGCCAGTGCGACAAGGGCATACAGACCGAGCCCGTTCGTTCTCCGATCAAACGTCGAATCTTGTCTGAGAAAGATCGCTTGTATTACTCGTTGAATACCGACGGGGACATTATTCATGCGAACGATAGCGACGATGTTGAAAAGGATTCCTTTGATCTGGAACAAACGAATTGGGCCGATCAGCCCGTAATGCTTCTACGAAACGAAAGGAAAAGGTATACATATTTTTCATGACAGACACTTTAGGGATAGATATAATATGATGTAGGTGTGCAAGTACCGTTTTTTTTTTTAACGGGACAACAGTCAAACGTATAATATGTTTATTCAATTTAGAAGGCACAGCAGCAGTTTCAAGGCTAGACCGCTGGCAGTGTTGCGTCCGTTGACACTTTAAAGTTGAATAACGTGGTCTTGTGGAGGACGTGATCCACTGTAAGGAAGAGGCAAATTATTTTGTTTTTAGTTTAGTTATTTATCGCCGCGAATCGCTAAATACAATTAATTTTAAAGAAACAAACGGAAAAGGAAAAAAAAGAAAAGCAGAGGGGTCCTCTTGGCATGTGGAATTAGTTATGCATGAATCCAAGATGGAACAATTAGCCCCTTGCTAGCTATGTAAGTATGTATACACATATACTACATATGTTATGTTTATATTTAAATGCGAGGATCGGACGAATAAATTAGTAATTAAAACGAAAAAAAAAATCCATCGATTTTAACCCTTTGCACAAGTTGAAAACGATTGATTGCGAATATGTGACCAAAAGTTCGCCACATGTCTCGCATCTTGCGAGAATTCAAAGGGTTATTCAACGATGTAGTAAGAGTTATTATTTTTTGGTTTAATTGTTGATGACTTCTATCTTTTTTTTTTCTTACACGGTTTTTGCTTTTGTTCCCTTGAAGGAAGAAAAAAAAGAAGAAAATGAAACAAAACGATAGGAAAATAATTAATTTACTCTGTGGAGTTACGTTATTTAAAAAAAAACTATGAATACAGAAAATCTCTTGTCAAATCCACATTGATTTTCATTTAAGACCTATTCAGGGATTCAATGTATGCTCTAGAGTATTAAAAGAAAAATATACATATATATAAATATATATTTGTGTGTATATGTACAGATACATGGGTATTTTATCTGTACATGTATATACGTATGTATACACTCTCACTATACACATACACATGTACACACATACACACCAAAAGTCAAAAAAACAAGGTCAGTAAGAAGAAGAAAAAA